AGTACCCAAGACCACATTCGCCCAAATCACTGAGGCTTAATTGACAAAAGAGCCCACTTTTGCCACTCATGAGAAATCCAAATGGGGCCTGTGCCAGATGTCACTGTCAACCTTCTCCAAAGTCCCCCAGGGCCCAGGACAACAGAGGCCTCCTCTCACTCCATACCTGTCTTCGTGAGCCCCAGTTAGGCCCCAGACACCTCACATGGAACCAGTCCTGTCTCAAGCACCAGCCTGTGATTACAGACATCTTGAGCAGAGAAATTCTTGTAAACTAATTCAGATTAAGGTGTAATGGACTGAAAGCTTGTCACAAAGGACCTGTGCTTTCCATGGGATCGGGGCCACAAGACCCATCAGCCGGGGTCAGACTGGAGATGTACCCCAGCTCAGGGCCTGCCCCCGTCAGCAGCGTGGCCTAGCCCCACATCTTGCTAAGCCTCAGTTTACTCATCTGGAGGATGGCAGCATCGACCTCTGGGGGATTGCAAGAATTTGACAAGTCGATGCGTATCGATCCCTCGGCACAGTGATAGGCACACAGCAGGTGACTTGGAAGCAGTCACTGTGGTGATAGCTTGGAAGAAAAGCAGGAAACATTGAGGAATTCAAGCGAAGGTCACAGCATATATTACACTGTGTTAAGTCAGAGGCCATTTCCCGCCCAGACCAGTGGCCGCAGGTGCCAAAGGTTTACACAAAAGCTCTGGGGAGAAAGACCGAAGACTGAGAAAACGCTCTCCACTAAATGAACGTTGTCTGCAAACTGGGAAAAGACCACCATTAGTCAATTTGGCCAGCGGAACACCTGGGGTCTGGCTCGCAAAAGCCTAATGTTGACAGTGGGGTTTGGCAAGCTGGCGTTTCCCCTCGGGGAATGGGGCTCTAATGGGGGGATTCACGGCCAGTGATGGGCCTACAACGCCCACACTGGAGCACAGAAACCTGCATTCCAGTCCTGGCTGCCTACCAACGGAAAGCACCTCTCTCGAGGCCTCAGTCTTCCCATCCGGAAGATGGTAGAGTTGAGCTGAGAACATCTATCTCCAGGGAGGTCCTGGTTGTTGACAGGTGGCCCGGGGCTACCCCAGCCATAACCTGTGGCCCTCGTAGGCCCGGGGAAGGGGAGTGCTGGGGGTAGACAGCCCCACTTGAAGAGACCAGAGGAAAAGGAAAGAGGTTGGTTCACTTTGTGGCCGATGCTGGAGCCGAATCAGAGGGTCTTGCCTCCAAGGGGTTTGCCTCCCCTGCTTGGCAGCGCACAGAGTCCGGAGCAGGCCAAACACAAGAAATAATAAATCCTAACCAGGCTTTGCCCAGTCAGGAGGCCCCGGCTGGCTCTTGTCATAAAAAGATCTTATCCCCATGAGCACCCCGTGCAGCGGGTGGAGGACTCCGCCCTCCTCCCCTCAGCCCTCAGCCCTCAGCCCTCCGCCTCCACTTCTATTTCCTGTGACAACCTGCAAACTGAAGACCAACTTGCCTCTCCCCCACGCCCAGGCTCTGGCTCGACCCCCGCCCCGCCCCGCCCCCGCCCGGGCCCCAGCTGCAGGAGGCCCCGCGGAGTGTAATTCCCCTCGCCCTCCTCTCCGCCCTGGGCCCGTCCGGGCAGATTAAGCCTTTGTCACACACACCCAGAAAAGCTCAGGGCCAGATGGGACGGGACAAGTGGTGTCAGCTCATCGACCCGCGGCCGGCCGGGACTAGGGAAGGGCCCGACCACAGCACCGCATATGGCTGTGGGAGGAGGCAAGGGGGCCCTGGGAGGGGGCAGCCAGAGAACAACATGGAAGAGAGATGACACACCATTGCCACCCTTGGGACCGCACACCGCGCCAGGGGCCCTGGTTCAGCTGCCGGATGACCCAACTCCCACACCTCCTCTTCCCTGAAATTGTTTTGCTGCCCGCCCTCCCTTGGTGGCTCGGAGGGCTTCTTTATCACATCCTCAGCCATGCCCACCCCCCCACACACACCAGCTGGGTGCCCAGAAGCAGGCAGAGTGGGACCTGCCCCGATACCCAGGACCCAACGCAAGGCCTGTGGGTACTGATCAAGTGCCTCAGACAAAGGTTTACGGCCTGATGACCTTCACAGAAGCCCACCCAGGACAAAACTACAGGGTGTCTCCCAAGTGCCACCAGAGGCAATGGCAACTTTGTGTGTGTGTGTGTGTGTGTGTGTGTGTGTGTGTGTGTGTAGGCCAGTGAAGGTAGGGGATGTCCTCTGCACCTTTCTAACATGGTCCCATTCAGCCCCTCCCAGGAAGAGGCCATGGCTGGCCCAGAATTCCCAGCAGGATTTGTTCCTCTTAGATCAGTGGAAAGAAAAATGGAAATATAAAAATAATTACTAAGCTCCAGGAAGGTGCTTGAAGATGGGGGTGGCAGGACTCTGGGGCAGCTCCTGCGGCTGGCTCCAGTTGGCTGGGCGAGTGGCAGGTAACTAACAGGCTCTCTGGGGACAGGCAGGCCAGGCAGGAAAGCACAAGGAGCTGGAGGGACAGGCTGTTGAAGGAGGGCATGGCTGCTCTGTTGTGTTTGTCGTCCTCCTGGCAGCCTGGGCAGGGAGACCTGGGTCCCCTTTCTCTGCGTCCAAGGCAGGTGGTCCCTTGGGGAAGGCATATTATTGGCCTGGGAGCCAGGGTGGAGGGTCGTGAGGCCCCTGATGCTGGGGACAGGTGAGGCAGGTCGACGTGGGCCTCATGAAGGGTCTGAAGCGACTGGCTGGGCTGGGAAGACCTGGAGCCCAGGCCTAGCACCCAATTTCTGAATGTGGCCTGGATGGATGGGTGTGTGTGTGTGTGTGTGTGTGTGTGTGTGTGTGTGCTCATGCTTGCTTTGCTCTGCCTTGACAGTAGTGTTGCTAAGGGGGTAGGGGACCTGCCCCATGATGCCCATTCCCTAGGGCAGAAATGGACCCACACAGAGAACCAGTGAGCCAGCTGACAAGTCTGAGGGTCACCTGCCTCCCAACTTCAGGAGTGGGTGGAATGGGGGATCCTGCCTCCGACTATGTGGAAGGTTGAACCAAGACTGTCAGCTCCCTGGGGAGGCATAACCAGGCTGGGGTAGGAGGTGCTAACTAATCCGGATGGCTGAGGACACTGCCCCAGGGTGGGGGGCACAGACCCAGTCAACCACCTAGTGGGTCACTGACCTCAAAAAAAAAAAAAAAAAAAAAAAAACCACACTCAAAAAAACCTAGCCCAAGATGGGAGAGAACCCAAGGGGGTATGGAACTGGCAGGGTGGGGAAGGAAGGCTGACCTAAGCTGGGGAGAGGCAAGGGTCCTCACTCCCCCCATGGGAAAGTGGGAACTGATTTGGGCTGGGGGAGGGGTCCCCGACTCGATCCGGGGAAAGGACAATGACCCAGACTCCCCGGGCTCGGGGGAGGCCCCTGACTCGCGCGGGGTGGGCCACTGCTCCCGCCTCGCCCTCCGGGAATCCGGCCCCGGCGCACCCCTTGGCCCGGCCCCACGCTCCGGGTCCGGCCGGAGGCGGCAGCGGCGCAGATGGGCTGCTGGCGGCCGCAGCGGCAGCGGCGCGGTGATCAGCGCTCCTCGCAGATGGGCCGCCCGCCCTCCGCGCTCGCGGCTCCCCACTCCCCGCGGCCTGCAGCCCCGTCCCCTGGGCGCGGGGGGAGGCGCCTCCGGATCCGCTCCCCGGCTCCCGCCTCCCTCCCTCGCGGCCCCCTCACCCCGCGGGCCCGGGCCCGGGCGGCCGCCGGAGGGGGAGGGGGAGGGGACAAGTGCACTTTTCGTAACGACCGAATCAATTGTGTGTGAAGAGCCCGCTCCGGCCGGGGACGGGGCTGAGCGCGGGGCGGGCGGGCCGGACGGGGGAGGAGCGCGGAGGGGGGAGCGGGGGAGCGAGGGAGGGAGGGAGGCCGGCGCGGGGCGGCCCCGCTCGCTCGCTCGCTCGCTCGGGCCGGGCGAGGCCGGGGAGGGAGCGAGGGGGGCTGGGAGGGAGGCCGGCCGGGCCGGGCCGGGGGCTGAACGCACTAACGGAGGGTCTCCGCGACGGAAAGTTCAAAGCTCAGCAGCGCCCCGGGAGCAGCCACCCCCCCCCAGCCCCCACCCGCTGCAGAACAATGAGGTCCCGGCGGGGGAGCCGCGGGGCCCGCGCCGCACGCCCTCTCCAGGGCGCCCGGGGCCGGAGGGGACGCCCCCGCCCGGCCGCCCGCCTCCTCCCTGCCGGCGGCTGCGGTTCCCCGCCCCCTCCCCCACGCCACCCCGCCCGGACCGGGCCGGCCCCGGGGACGGGGGAGGGGAGGGGAGGGGATGGATAGGTCAGGCCGCCCCCGTCCCAGGGAGGGGGGGAGCTAGGGGCCCGGGGGGCGGAGGGGGCGCCCCACCCACCCGCGCGAGGCTGCTCCTGCGCCAGGCTGCGGCTCGGGCCGCCCCTCCCCGGGCCAGCCCCGGGTGGGGTCGGGGAGACCATGCCCGGGCGGGCCCCCTCCCCCGGCGCTGGGGAGCCGAGTGGACTCCCCGTCCCGCGGCTGCCCCTGCCCCCCTCCCGCGGCACCACCCTGCACACACACACACACACACACACACAGGCGCGCGCACACACACACACACACACACACACCGCCCAGCCGGCCCGGGGGCGGGAGCGCGAGGCGCCCGGGACAGGCAGCCCCGGGGCGGGCGGGGGGGAGGCTCGGGCTTCGGAGCAGCCGCCTGCTGGCTGGGGGAGGGGACGGGAGGACGGAACATGCTGGGGTGAGCTGCCCGGGACAGCCCGCCCGGCACGGCCACGGCCCGGGCAGCAGCGCAGAGGGGGGCAGGGACGCCCCGCACCCGGAGCGCTGCCGGGGCGGGCCGGGGCGGGCGGGTGAGCAGGGACGCGTGCGCCTCGAGCGGGCCTGACCCACGGACAACCTCAGGGACACACGTTCGGACACACATCCACACCCCCACACCCCCACAGCCCGCCCCCGCCCGCCCCGAGCCCCGCGGCGGGACCGGCCCGCGGCCGCCGCGCGCGCACTCACCGAGCCCGTCTTGACCGGCACATACACCACTTGGCCCATCTTGGGTTCCCGGCCGCTGCCCAGGCGGAAGCCCTTGGAGCGCACCCAGAACTGGAACTTGCCTTTCTCGCCGGCCGCCGGGCCGCTGCCCGCGCCGGTCCCGCCGCCGCCCTGCAGGACCTCGGCGATCCGCTGGTATTTGCTGCGTGTCACCGTCTTGGTTTTGGCCGAGTCGCCGTAGGTGCGCAGGCACCAGTCCCGGAACTGGCGGCCCAGCTCCGAGTCCCCGGGGCTGCGCTCGCGCTCCCAGCCCCCGCGCAGCAGCAGCGTCGGCTTCGGCATCCTCCCGCCGCGCCCGGCGCCCTCGGGGGCGGGCCGGCCGCCGGGCCGCCCGGTGCCGGGGCTGCGCTGGGCTGGGCCGGGCCGGGGCGCGCAGCGGCCCGGGCTGTCCCGCGGTGTGGCTCCGGCGCGGCTGCTTGATGGGCGCGGGCGGCGGCTGGACGCGCGGGGCTGCGGCGCGCTCTGTCCTGCTCGGGCGGCGGCAGCGGCGGCGTTGGCGGCGGCGGCTCCGGCTCGCCTCCTGCTCCGCCTCCTCCTCCCCCCGGCCGGGATGCGGGAGCGATGGAGGCAGCTCCGGGCCCGGAGGTGCAGAGGGGGCGGGCCGCCCCGCGGGCGGCCGGGGGAGGCGGGAGGCGGGGAGCGGCTCCGGGCGCGGGGAGCGAGACCGAGCTTGGGCGCGGGCGGCGGCGGCGGCGGCTGCGGCGGCGGCTGTCAGCTCGCGCGGCTCATCCTGCTCCTGCTCAGGCTCCCGCTGCCGCTGCTCTTCCTCCTCCTCCTCCTCCCGCGCCCGCCTCCACCACGCCGCGGGATCCCACCTGTTAGAGCGTCGCAGCCTTCGCCGCCGTCCCCTCCCTCCCTCCCGCGCCCGCCCGCGGGGCCCAGACCCCGCCCCGGCCCGGCCCCTGGGGGCGCGGGGCCGCCGCGCCCGCAGCCGCCGAGAGGGCCGGAGCCGCAGGCGCGCAGTGCCCAGCCCGGGGACCGAGTTCCCTCCAGCCGGGCCGGGCCTGGCCCCGAGCCTCGCAGGCCGCGCTCCGCCCGGGTCGGGCGGTCTCGCAGGGCGCAGGGCGCAGGGCGCAGACCCCGCCCGGCCACACGCGTTCCTGCCTCCCCGGCGGCCCCGCCCGGTTTTAGCCCCGGCGCGGGCGGAACGGGGCAGGCGCCCTTCTCTCCCTCCCGCAACTGGCCTGATTTCTCCGGTGCGAGCCCAGCGCCAGAAGAGCAGTGTTCCCCGGGGAACCCCAAACCGCCGCCCTGCGGGGCCTGAACTTCCTTCCTTCTCCCCTCACCCCGAATTCCCCGAAGTTTGGCCGGCCCTACTCCTGCCAACCCCTCTGCTCTGGGACAGCCCCAGGCCCCAGGGAAGTTGTCAGCATTGGCCCGCGGCCTCACTCAGGCCAACCAAGGCTTTGGGCCACGCTCAGCACACCCACAAATTCATTCCAACATGCCCTGCCTTCATGGGGGCCCCTAGGCCTAGAATCTCTTGCTGGGTAAACTGAGGCGGCCCTCTATCCGCTTCCTCTCCAGGCAGGACTGACCTTGGCCCCCTCACCCTTAATGAAATCACTAACATAAATAAAGGCACAGGCGATTCTTCTGGATTTCTGCCCTCCTTTCCTAACAGGTCATGAGGAATTACTCGGCTTGTCTCTTTAATGGTCACTGAGGTCCAGCCCCATGTCCCCAGGCCACTCCAGCAGGCGAGTACCCACTCAGGCCTGAGGGCCAGATTTTGACCAGTGGAGGGCCATTTTCTATCTAGAAGCCAGTGGCTACCCCGTCCCAAGGTCCCCCACTCTGGAACCTACAGTGTGTGGTGTCCTGGCATCTTGGAGGCAGAGCGGATTGGCCCATTTTGCAGATGAGGGCCTGGGGCCTGGAGAGGTAGCCTGACCTGCTCAAGGTCATACAGGGAGGAGGAGAAGGTTTCAGCCCAGGGCTGTCTGTCTCTGGTTCCCACATCACACAGGAAGTCTCTCCTTGCCATCCCACTGGGAGGAATCCTCACACTGGATGTGCCTGCCTCACTTCTCCCAGTAGACAGGGAGTTCCAGATGCTCAGGGCCCTGGTCTGACTCATCCCTATATGCCCAGGCCCTTGCCCGGTACCAGGTACACAGTAGGTGCCAATAAATGCTGAAAGAACCAAAGAGGTCTTCCAAGTCCCAACCTCGCTCTGCATTTCACATAGAAGATTTATTTTTAGATAATTTACATTTCCATGTTACTTTATATACACCAACAACTCCATAGTCATTTTTCCTCTTCATCTTCCCAAAAGCTCTGTTTGGTTCCATGGCCATTTTTCAGAGATGACCACTGGAGCTTAGAGAGGGAAGGTACCACCTAAAGGCCCCCAGTCCCAGAGGTGCGGAGGCCTCTGCATGATTTGGAAGCCCACATCTTGACTTTTCCAATATACATTCCCTGCCACAGCTGACTTCCTGCCCAAGGGGAAGAGCGCCCTCCCCCAGGAACACTAATGACCACTCTCAGCAAAGGTGCCCCGGTGCCCAGGTGTTGGGGCCCCCATTTGAGCCTGGGTCTTTCTTCAGTGCCAACACCCACTCCAGCAACCCCTGAGCCAGACCACCCGTCCATGCAATCTGGGTCTTTGCCTGCCTTTCAGAATCCAGAAACCTGGCTGCAATCTTGGGCTGAATTCTAGTGTGGCAGAAGGTATAGCGCAGTGAAAAAAACATAGACTTCCGGTGGAGTCAGATGGATTTGAGATGGAATCCTGACCACTGTCTGCCATGGCACTCTTCATGCCCACAGGTCCCAATTAGCTGCTCCCCAACGGAGTAAACCCCTCAGCCCACCCCTCACTGAACCCCCAACTTCATCTTCTTTTTAGTGGAGAGGGTATGTGGACATAAAGGCTCAATAGAATAATATGGGTGAGAGTACCTGGCATATGATGGGTGCCCAAAAAATGCCATTTTTGCCTCCATAGAGGCTGCTAAGTATTCAAAGAGGAAAACAGGCATTGTTGATAGTTACTGTATTTCATTCACTCAACAAACATTTCTTGAAGTAGCCGTTATGCACCAGGTGCTAGTGATAAAGCTATGGGATTCCCCAAGGTCCTTGCCCTTGTGGCGCTCACTAATGGGCGGGGAAGATGGCCGTGGAATAAGTCAGCCATCAATAATTACAACTTGGGAGGTGGCACCCATCTAGTACAGTCAGTAGAGCATGTGACTCCTGAACTCTGGGTTGTGAGTTCAAGCCGCATGTTGAGATAGAGGTTACTTAAATTTTTTTTTTTTTTTAACTGGGACGCCTGGCTGGGTCAGCGGTTGAGCATCTATCTGCCTTTGGCCCAGGGCGTGATCCTGGAGTCCTGGGATCAAGTCCCACATCGGGGTCCCTGCATGGAGACTGCTTCTCCCTCTGCCTCCCTCTCTCTCTGTGTGTGACTCATGAATAAATAAATTAAATATTTTTAAAAAATTCTTTTTAATTAAATCTTTTTTAAAATTACACCTTGGGGAAAGAACATTGACAGAAATAGGGAGCTGTGAGAGCAAATGGACATGAAGGACTACTTTTCTTAGGGGGATCAGGGCAGACCCCCTCCAAGGTGGTATATTTGAACAGCAAGTTAAATGACAAGGAGCCATTTCTGCTACATTCTGAGGGAAGGGCATTCCAGGCCAAGGGAACAGCACGTGTAAAGGCCCTGCGGTGGGAAAGAGATTGGCATTTTCCAGAAGCTGAAAGAAGGCCAATGTGGCCAGAGTGAAGTGAGTAAGGAGGGGTTGGAAGGCAGGAGACTGTAGGAAAAACCTTGGATTGCGTTCTAAGTGTGATACAAGGCCACTGGTGGGTTGTAAAGAGGGGAAAGACTGAGAAGTAGAGAGGAAGTGAGAGGTGGAGGCCCCAGGGTCTGTGGTCAAGGGCCCTGGAGGTCAGAGGCCTTGCTTTCTCCTCCCATATGTTAGCTTACTCTATCCTAGGCACATCTCAGCATCATACCCCAAAAAGTACCATGAAAAAAGTGGAGGTGGTCGAGCAGAATGAGAAAGGCCTACTGCAGCCCAAACCCACTTCTGCCAAAACAGATCCCTGGACCTCTAGCCTATTCATGTCAGTGGTATCCTTTAGCAGGTGTCCTGCCCCTGAGCATGCTGGATGGGAGGTGAGTTTCTTTCAACGTCCAGCTTGCAGTCATGGTCCTAGGGGGCAACTGCTCCTCTTTTCTTCCTGTTCCAGCCACCTGCTGAAAGGACAAAGTAGGCTGTCCCATTAATCAAGGTTGTAGAACTCCCAGATTTTTTCTTTACCTTTAGTCCAGATGCCCAAGGGAGACTGGGATTGAAGCACAGAGAACTCAGGCCTCCATCTACTTGGGATGCTAACGGTAACATCCTGGGTCGCAAGAGGTTACCAATGAAGGGTCTGCAGAGAGGATACAATGGAAACTCTGCCGTTTACAGATGGGTAAACTAAGTCCCACAGAGGGGAAGAGGCTCAGGGCCACAGGCAGAGCCTTTACCTGATTTGGCCCAGATCACTGTTTTTCTTTGAGCTCTGCCTCTGGGCCCAGGTAATTGGGAATGCCCACAACTCAGAGGTGAGGTGGGACAACCCCAGCCTGGGGTGGGGCGGGGTGACGCAGGCCCCACTGAGGCCTGTCCACCAAAGGCTAGGGGGAGCAGGAAGGCCCCGAAGCCTTGGGGAGGGGTGGTTTCCACTGCCAGAAGCTGGTGTCACTTCCATCAAGAGCTTGTGAGGCCATTGTCACCTCCCACTCCAAAGCACCCACCCCTGCAGGCTGCCTGTGCACACTTCCCTGCTGCTCCAGGTCCACCTCACCCAGAAAGGCTTCCTGATCCCTCAGTTTGGCTCCGGGGCTCCCACGGTTGCTCACAGACCCCCGGGCTTTCCCCATCCTGGCTCTGACCACACAATATCACGTTTACCCGGTTACCTGTCCCTACCGGTGCCCAGCACAGGAGCTGAGGCGTAGCAATTGAGTAAATGAATAAAGTTTTAAAAAGTGAGGGAATGAATGAAAGAATAAATGGGCCGGCTCCCAAAATGCATAGCTCAGATGGAGGTAGACAGCATTTTTCCCCATACTACTCGCCACCCCCTTACCCAACCAGTCTCTCAGCATTTTAGCGTGCTCCTCGGGGCAGGCTCTGCTGCGGAGTGGCCTGACCCGGGTTCCTCGCCCTGAGCCTTGTTTTGTAACAGCGCTAAAGTGGTGATAATAATTATCCCTAACTCACAGAGCTATTGTGAGACAAGCACTCAATGAATATTAGCTCTTA